AATTAATTTCCGTCCCCAACTCCAGTAGTGAATTATCACAGCTACAATCCAACAGATGCTGCCAAGTTGTGTTTCTGGGAAAACACACTTCACCTCTGTCTGGATAGCAATGTTATTTTAGGATCTGCTGTGCCAATCCAACTGCCTGCTGCTGTCCTCACAGCTTCACAGCAGATGTTGGAATTCTAAAAGCATTTCCAGAGGGACCTTTTGCCCCCTCCCAGAGGGACTGTTGAAATCACTCATATTCTGTAGCTTTAATCTGAGAAGGAACATAGAAATTTATTTCTCTGTAGTACTGTATTTTGGGGAAAAATATTAAAAGCTGAGAAGCAATCTGTTCTAGAAGACAGGTAAGTTCAACAGCTCTGCTCTACTGATAATCAAAGGCATCCTGAAAACTAAGTGACTGCATGCAGCTGTCTGAGCTCTTTCCCAACAAACATTCCCATGGAATTAAAAAAAAAAAAAAAAAAAAAAAGTAACTGGTAGCACAGGTTATGTTAAATAAAAACAGTGAGCTTTATACCTAAACTACCATTTACTTTTTATGTATGAAGAAAAAGACAACCAAATCTCAGCGTTTTAAAATATGCTTGCTCACGAGCATTCGACTTGGTCCCATCATTACAAATGCCTTTATTTGCCTAGTTTACTTCTGCTGCTCACTCTTTTGTAAACACTTCATTAGCATTATTTAGCTACACGCACAGAGGCTATGTTAAGTAACACAAGAGCCAACTTTCAGAACACAATTTTAACACACGCAATATGCTGTGCCTAAGCTACTTATCTTAGCCATACTGCTAACCCACTGCAGAAGATGAAGAGAGTGCTGCAGGGCAAGCAAACAACGGAACAACACTGGCATGCTTGAGAAATTCCTTGTTGCTTTGGAGAATTCGGGACCATGGCACGTGATCTTGCCTCTAGGTGATTGGTGAACTTTCACCAGATTATACAGCTTTAAGTGTCTCAGTCCTTTTAGAATGCATTGGAAATACAACAAAGTTAAGGAACTGGTCAGTAGGCAGCTTGTAATCTCAACTCAAAGCAAACAATTCACCAGCAGTTATCTGCTTTGTATTTTACCCAACGCTTCCTCAAAATCTTCTATATTTCCAAAACGATGGAGTCTGTTGTTGGATTTCTCCTCTGCCTCTGAATGGTAAAAGCATGGAATTCACTACTGACTACAAATTCCACAATTCAGCTATAGCCTTTCAAAAAAAAACCAAAAAAAACAAACAAACAAAAAAAAAAAACGAACCAAACTCAAACAACAGCAGGATTTGAGCCTCTCTGATTTTTTCATTTGAGAGGCTGCTGAAAAACAAGTAACAATAAGTGTCTGAAAATCAGGAAACAGCACAGAGATGCTATCCCTCATGTGAAGCAAGAAGGGCAGAGGGCAGAGATAAGACATTTTCAATATTCATACTGAACTGAAGTAAAAGCAACCATTTCCCAGAGAGCACCTTCCCAAACTCTAATGGCGCAGGAGGCAGGAAAACAAGGGCTTGCAAGAGGGTCAGACTCCTCTCTGCACAGAGAGCAGCTGCTCATTTCACTCTGGACTCTAAAGCACCGCAGCAAAAAAAAAAAAAGTCCCTAAACTGGGACTTAAGGAAACTTGGTCTTAAAGCCTTCCTTCAGCCAGTACTCCAGCAGATCACGTCTCAACACATCCAGTATTTTTCTTTTGAGCCACAGATTACTAAAAAGCAGTGATAAGATTTACCTCCTCTGTAGAGACTCAACCTCCCCATCAAAAAGAAAACTCAATGCTAAGTTCCAAGCGCAGTAACAACAGCAGATGTATGTAGTAGTTCTAATATAACCACTAGCATTAAGACCAACAAAAATTGTGTCTATTCAAGGAGAAAGTCTTCAACTATATGAAATATGAAACCTTCCTAGAGTACTGACACGAGGACACAGCGTCTGGAATAGAAACAGAAGTATACTGCTACAGACACCTTTTAGCTGCTCCTTCCTCCCAGTTAGCAGTCACCTTGTCAGGGCACGCATGGAAGCCCTATTCATTATGCAAAGCTGAAATGAATGAAGGCTGCAGATGCTGAGACTGATGGAAGGCACCCAGCCCTTCCTTATCCTCCCACACATACTGGAACAAAAAGAGTGCCTACACTCTATGACACCATGTACCTCAGTCCAACGCTGCCTCATGCAGACTGTGCACAACACAGGATGGAATTAGTTTGCAGAACCATTGCTGTATTTCAAGACAGGAGAGCCACACAGCTGATACAGTCAAAAATACTGAAACCAGAGATTTATTTTTCCCTACCTTGAGCACAAACGTTCTGTCACCACTGCAACAACTTCTTAAACCACGGACACAGGCTGTGAACCTGCTAGCTCTGCACTGCATGGTGTGGTTTGGTTTGTTAAGGATGCAGGTTTTAATTAATATTATTTACAAACTATTCATTTCTATCCATGCTAGTGAGGTAGTAGCTATTCCAATAGAAGTCTTACATAAAATGTTTCTTCACTGACTTGTTTCTTGTGCTCTATTTATATCAGCACTGCAGGGGAGAGCATAAAGACATGATCTTAAACGCACCTGAATTCATTACATATTCTAGAAAAGTTTGAACTCAAGTCTCCACATTTAGTTTAAGGATACCTAAGGATTATGAGATTAGAATCCCACTGGCTTTCCGGGAGGATTCAGCAAGATAACTCCAAATTACTTCAAGGGCTGGTGTGAAATGGACCTCTGTACTTATTTAGCCTCTGCTCTAGATTACTGACCCACTTCTGAGGAGCTCAGCATCCCTGCTGCGTGATGCCGACACCCACTCCATCTGTTTGCTTCTGCTTTCTCAGAACCTCAATTTGTCTGCATAAGAAGTTGTGGTAATTCACACGAGCAGTTTGGTAGCTCACACAGCATCAGCCCCACTTTCTGTGTGGTCACCTTGACAAACAGAAACAGAACAACGCAACAGGATTATCAAAAGCTGTGCGTATGCAGATTTCCAAAGGGGCAGCTTTATTCAGTTCCATCCGAGCCACTCTCAGTTTTGAGATGAAAAAAAAAAGTACACTACAATTAATCATTTTTAACAAACTATGGAAATTTGCAATGGGACCAGCAGCTTTTGAAACCACAAGTGAAACTTCTAGTGATGTTGCAAAGCAACAGCTCCACAAAGGGGCATCTCACAGCACTTGCCGATATCCTGAGTTAAGCAGTTATCAAAACTGAATCTAAAACTGGTCAAAAGCCAGCAACAACAAAACAAACAAACCTGCACTCATGACAAATGTGTGCCTCAGCAACTGAGCACCCCAAACTTTTTGTTCCTTCGCTGTGGGCGAGATGTTTCTAAGTCAACCCTTTGTTGTTCACCCATGCTGATCTGCAGATCTTTAAGAAATTCGTTGGAATGGGTCTCAAGCAGCAGTTTTATTAGCTTACTGAATCCAAAAACAAAAAACTCCAGAAGTCGCTACAGCACTGAGCTGACATTTGGTCTTCCCTGGGAGCCCAGACTACTGCCGTAAAGTGAAATAACAGCAACAGTCCAAAAGCCAGCTATGAAAATGAAGTCTGTGTACTGATATCATCTTGCCTGTTAGCACCAAAGCCATTAGTTTAAAACCAAACCTTATGCCAACACTACCCAGAGAGCTCCAGCTACCAGTTTACTTATACAACAGTCGAGAAAAGTAAGATATAGGTGAGCTCTACTTCAGCTGACCCAAAGATAGATGAGAACAGAACATCTCAATCCAGCCAGAAATGCCCATCACAGTAAAAAGACTATATAGAGAAGATGAGAAACCCAGAAAACTTGGGGACAGCTTGGAAAGAAAATGCAGGCGGGAGGCAACATTAGAAACAAAAGATGAACAGAAAATGGATGGCAGAATGAAAGCAGCTATGTGTATGGATTACAGAAAAGGCTATGTCAAATATAGGGTAATGCTAAAACCATGGTCAGGTAACAGCCGTAACACATTTGGTAAGTGGCAACCATGACAGACATCAGTTGAATGTAAATGGAACTATGATTAACACAAAGCTTAAAAGTAGCTGGGATCAGTGTGCTAATAATACAGAAATGAAGGTCGTAAAATATGCAGTTTCTCTCTCTTAGAAACTAATTCTAAGCGTCAGGGGGCTCAACGCCCAAAAAAATTCCTGTCACCAGACTTTCTTGCATTTTCATAGAAACACACCACAGAGTGATTTGAGATTCATGTCGCAGCCCTGAAGAGCTTACACACACGCACCGCCAGTGCGATTCCATACAACATGAACCTGGAGATACACTTCACAAACACGACCCTTGCCCCTTGCACAGCAATTGCAATGAATTGAGAAAGTCAAAGGAGTAGAATGCGAGCTGTTTACCTAAATATACATGCATATAAGGAGCAGAAGAGAAGATCTAGAAGTACTCTTAAGTTATTAAATGAAAAGCATTTTCATTAACCAATAACAAATAGTAATAAGTCTTCAGAAAAACTGCTTCCACTGACGTTTCCCTTCAAATGGGAAAATGGATGCAGTTTGCAAAACTTCAACAAAACTTCCATACACAACTGAAAATAATAATTGAGAGGACTGAAGTGTTGACCAAGGAAAAACTAGTCTTTTTTTGTTTAATGTGGAAGTGGGAGTTCAAATAAGCCCCTCCGAATACAGAGAGAGTTATAAAATAAAAGCACATGGCAGTGTTACGAGCTAAGAGCTGCGCTAGGCACCACCAGAACATTCACAAACTGGAATCCAGTTAGTAATAAAAACTGAGTTGTAAACTCATAAGAAATTGAGAATGTACCATGTGATTCAGTTCTTAGAACTGAAGCAAGCAGTACACAAAACCAAAACAGGTTTTAAAGAACTTTTAAAGAATCAAAGGCATGCAACTGATTCTGTTATTGATTTGTTCACACAAATTAACATCCATTTAGTCACCCCTTAAGTGGCTGTAAGGAATGTTGAACGCAACAGGACTTACCTTGGTATGGTCACACACTTGGTATTGCAGTTCTGAGTGGTAATGGCCTTCTCAAGCTCATCCAGCTGTCCTGTTTTCTTTAGCTTCTTGACCAAGCTTTTCACCGCTTTTTCACACCACTTCTCCTCCTGCCCATTCTGCTCACCGCTGGCCCCTCCGGAACCACCAGCAGATTTTTTCCACCCAAGAAGTCTCTTCACAACCGGTGGAGTGAATGGCAGTATGGATGACATGATTCCCACCAGACAGAACGCTCAGCACACAGTTAGAGATTTCTGTCTGATCCCTAAAAACGCAAACCGAAACAGACACATTAGCACCGAGGTTTTACTTGAGAACACTCCTTGCTTAGGATCTTCCATTATCAAATGCTGTAGGACACGCCACCTCCAAACAATTCAGGTAATAGTTCAGAAGGCGGATCTGAAATTCACTTTAAATTTTGATGATGAGTTTACTCCGTGGCTCTAATTTACAACTCGACAGCCGATAGATAATCAACCTTCCAAGATGTCACTAATTTAAATCATCAACTTTTTCAAAAATCCATTAAAGAATATTCAAAGTCTCATTTTGTAGCTACCTGAGTGGCGCAGTTGTGTTTGTTTTGAATTCTGACACCCTTGCATTTGATATCAACTACCCCAGTCGGGACACATAAAACATCAGGAGGGATGCTGAATCTTGAGCTGTGTCTGGCATTCGTCTCTATTTGTACTTCAGATGGATTGGAAGAAATGATAGCCAGTTTTTTTTTTTTAAATATATATATATATACATACATACATATACATATTTTACATATATATATATACATACATACACACACACTTCCTAGTTTTACAGTTTGTATCAGGCTACTTTCAGGAATTAAAATACAAGCCCCAAATCAGCTGTATCATTTTAAGCAGACAGCTATTGGAGCTTGTTTGAGGACAGCATCATCTACAGACAGAAGCACTGCATTGAAGCCAGAACTAGTCTTATTTCCAGGCAGTAACTGGATATCTGAATTCCACAAACTTACCGTGCTGTCAAACTTCAGCACTCTAAGCTGTAATAGTTAGTACCTTGTTGAGCCAAGTACAAAATGTTACCTTCAAGCTACACAATCAGAGCTTTCTAGGCAGCTTATGTGCATACTGTGCAGGCACGCTCCTCCCTTCTATCCAAAATATACCTCACCTTGTAAGGTTTCTCATCTGCAAAAGAGCAATGGTTCATTTGGGACACTTCAGGTTATGGTATTCCTGGCTGATTTTTGCTTCATCACGCCTTCACAATTTCAACGAGAACCAACAGGTCAACAAAAGCTGGGTTATATTCTGCAGGCAGCTTTAAATAATAACTCATCTATACTACATGCAAGGTTTCACCTTCACATAAGACCACAGCATGAGAAGAACTGTTCTTTCAGTGGTGTTAAATTATTACAGAATTGTGGCCACTAAGTCAGGCTGGAGGTCACATTTTGCAGACTGCAGAAGCGTTGTACTGGAGCCCCAGCTACAGCAAACTACTGAAACAACCTCAACAGCCAACGTCTTCAATCCAGTGCTAAGCAGGACACTCAAGCTATGTTTTCCCTGGGAGCCAATACTGACAGACATCCCCCACCGAACACCTCCATCACTGCTCATCCACACACCCGTTCTTCCCAAGTTTATGGAGCTCACTAACATATAATACAGGCATCACCAACTCTTCAGCTTCTCATTTGTCACCTTTCAACTGCCCTGATTATCAGCATTATAAAGTAGGCACTTCAGCAGTCTCACTTACCAAGATGTTAAATTGCCTGTTCTTTCAAACCTTCTAAACATTCTCTGTCCTTTTATCTATTTTCAGCTTTACAACACCCCCGAGAGGATGTGTCCAAGCTTGCTGTATTCTCTCCCTTGAGATAACACTGATATCTACATACTGATAGTTCAACCCCAACTAATCAGAATTTTCAAATTCTTTACTTGACTTCTACCACTCCCTTATACATTTACCAGTTTTCATAGATGCTTTCATAAAGCACAGTTTATCTGTTAGTCCCGCGGTCATATTTATATTAAAACAATTTATTTTTAAATAGAGGACACATGATTTAAGAAAACAATGTATATGCCATGCCTGCAGAGTAAGTGTGATTCTGGGAGGCTCTGACTGCTCTTCTAGCCATGGTTATGCCATGTCATGGATTTGCCAGTTGTATCAGTAGGCATTTCAACAAGCTACTCCAGCAGCAATCTCATTTCTTCCAAAGGGTGAGCAAAGAGAACGTGACACAAGTAGGACAGGATTTTGTTCACCTTAACGCTGCAGCCAACTGTGATGAATACACACAGGACAATCTTTCAGCCAGCTTAACATATGCAGAAGTTACACGCTTCTCCATGCCTACAGGAGGCACAGCAAAGTACAAACCTCAATCATGCAAGGAAAAAGCAGCAATAAAGTAATTAAGAAAAACCCTAACATGACAGAAGTCGGTGCATCTAGCTTAGTGCTCTGTCCCAAAAGCAGAAAATCATTTTTCCTGCCTGTTTACTGTTTCCACTACCATCCAGAGAATGGTGATGAACAGAGATACATCCAGCTGGCAACTAGCCATGAGTAGTGCTCCCCAGGGGTCAGCAGTGAGGCAATCCTGCTTAACAACTTCATTGATTAACCAAAGGAGGGGACTGAGTGCACCCTAAGGAAGTGTGCAGATCAAACCAAGTTGGAGGAAGCGTTGATCTGCCTGGGGCTAGGAAGGCCCTACAGAATGATCTGGACAGGCTGGATAGCTGGCCAATGGGGCTACAGGATGAGCTTCACCAAGACCAAGTGCCAGGTCCTGCTCTTTGGCCACAACAACCCCACGCATCTGGAGAAGGACCTGGGGGTGTTGGTCGATGCTCAGCTGAACACAGGCCAGCAGTGTGCTCAGAAGACCAACAGCATCCTGGCTTGTATCAGAAACAGCGCTGCCAGCAGAAGCATGGAGGTGGCCATCCCTCTGTACTCAGCACAGGTGAGGCCATACCTCAGTGCTCTGTTCCGTGTTGAGCCTCTCATCACAAGAAAGGCACCATAGAGCATGTCCAGAGGAAGGCAGCAGAACTGTGACACGGAGCAGAAAGCTGTCACTACTTCAATCCCTACCACATTTGCCAGATTATGCCTTAAAACTGCAGCTCCGAGTACTCAAGGGTTTGAAAGAGGGCTACCAGTGTCAGAACTGCTGGCACACAGGGAACACGTGCTGTTACATCCAACAGATTATAGCTGGAAAACTCGCAGATTGCCTAATGGTGGTGGTATGCTCCATCTCTACCCCCGCAGTATATTCCGCTTCCTCATGCACACGTTTCTATAGTTGGTCAAACAGTGTGATCGCTGGCAACTTCTAAAGTTGCAGTTTGAATCATGTCTGCTATTATTCAATTCTGCTGTGGTTCTCTGGAACGGGGATTAAATATTAAGCCTATGATCCCAGCAATAACTAAGCGTAAAATATGAAGGAAAACTTCAGGGCAGCATACAGGCAGACTGAAATCTTCAAGGGAAGTTTCCCCTTCCTGAGTGTCTGGTATACACTATAAGCAAAAATATCAAGTGACTTCTGGATAATTACTGTAAAGCCTTATGCAATGTATTTCATACCAGTTCATTCATCTTAAATCTGAAATCAAGAAATCTGATCTCTCCTGGTTTTATTCTATGCAACCTGGCTGAGAATAACTTCATTTTCAAGTGCTCTTCTGCAATGAAGAGGACAGAAGCTAAAGGAGAATCAAGGAAAACCTTTTTGTGGCATTTAAGAGAGTCTAAAACTTTATTTCTTCCCAGTTTCAGACCTATTTTGTGATATAAAAGGTTCTTTTTTTTTTTTCATTAATCCTGGAATTTGGACAAGATTCTATACCAATTTCACCCAGCGCACAATGTTTCACATATCTCAGAGGAAGAGGGAATATCCACCTTTCTCCTCCACATGCCTCCCTATGATAATTCCTTCACAATAAAGATATTAATTCTAGCATCATCTGTTTAAGGCAGTAGCAAGATCTTACATTACGCCAAACAGCACTGAGAGATAAAGCTTTAAGATCTATAGCATATGTAGTATTCCATGTCACCTACACCAATGCAAAGTCATTAAGACTGTGAAACTTTAAGAAAAGATGCAGCATTTCATCTTGTACTAAACTGAAACATAACAAAATTTATGGCGTGCTTCTGGAATCTTTAAGCTGTGCTATTCCAAATAACAAGACAGCTGAATCTGAAAAGAATTTCCCCAGTGCTAACTATCACACCCTGCAGGAAACCTGAATTCTGTACACTGTAACTAGAAGCTCTTTCTCCCTGCAGAAGGAATATGTTGTATTTACAGAACTTAGAGGAATGGACAAGAGGGGACATTTCACTTCTTCTCCTGCACCCTCCAAATCACACCCTGAGTCCCAATGGGGGCTACTTCTTACCCTACAAAGGTGTGTTAGACACCTCTTTTATCATCTGGAGAAGCTCAAGCCTGCTGTTCACACACAGGTTTCTGAAGAACAACCACACACAGAACTTAGGTGATGCACCTCCTTCTCTCCCTATATTCAGGCTGGGATAGGACAGCTTCAAGTGTTTCCTTCCTTTCCTTAGGATGCTTAGGATGCTGGAGTTTGTTGCTGTGGGGCCGACGGTGGCAGAGAGCTGGGAGAAAAATCCAGCCCTGTGCCATGGTTCACCCCCAGCTGAGCCCCGCAGCCAATTACCCAGCTGAGAGGAGGGCTTGGAAACACTGTCCCCAGGGGCTCCATCTGGCCACAGCTTCATTGGCAAAGCCAAGCTCCAAACTCAGCTCCTGCATGAGCTGCTGGAGCTCAAGGCAGGCCTGTGATCCAGGGGACCAGCAGCAAAGAGAATTCCTTCTCCAGGACAACCTTAGAAGGAGGATTTTGCAACATGCCGTTACACAGATTCAATTTGCACGCTGATTTTGAAGTTTATTATGCTCAAGGGGATCTTGAAACTTTGTGTAACAACTTTTTCCTCTGTGTAGCTCATTGAGGAGAATTAGACATATACTTTGAGCATAGACATATTTCCTCTCACGCATTTCACAACGTTTGATTACGAATCAAATGAGAAAACTCACATCTCTTACGTGCAGAACCAAAATAAGCACCAACATGACAACAGGAAAGCTTCAGAAGTTGAATTTTTCTCCAGTTACTAAGTAGTACTCAAAAAGTAATGAAAAAATTGTTAGAAGAAAACTAACAGACTGAAAGCAACACATTCACACAGTGACACTAAACTGCATGCAACCAGAAATACGAGAAAGAAGACGTTAATTTTACTGACCTCTGATTGAGATAATTATAAGAGTAATATATCTTAGCCATTCTCTTAGAAGCCTGGAAAGTGTACCACACCTGCAGGCAGCCAATTCACCTGCCTGCAAAGCAGCATGCTTTTCCCACATACTTAGTATTTATGAACTCACAGCATTGCTCCTTAATACTGGAAGACCTCAACAGAGCCACAAAAGCACCAAATGAGCATTCCAAACCACAGCAGTTTAAGCTCTTCTCACCTAATTTGTTTTGATTAAACTTCTCCATGTGTAACAGGCAAGAGTCAGTTCCATTAGGTTAGAAAGGAAATGCTGCTGGGTAAATCTGAAAGGAGCAGTCCCAGAACTGATTAGCAGGTACTTGGGTGCCTGTGTCAGCTTCTATCTGCGTAACTTAACAGTTTCCCAACTTCTTCAAACTCTCCTTCCTCCACCACAGGCAGAGCTTGAAGAGTGTCTTCCAGTAAGCTCATCTTGCTCCAGCTTAATTAAATCAAGCTCAAGCCCCGGACTACACTGATAGCAGACCCAGGAGCTGCTCTCTCACAGTCTCTTTTGGTCTCCCTTCACACTCTTGCTGTCAAACACACTTAATCACAATAAAAAGTCATCTGGAACAAAGTCTTCCTCTCTGTAATCCAGCAGCACTGCAGGAAGTTGAAAGCAACGTTTAGCAAGATTTTCTGTGGTCACCAATTTCTTCTAGCCCAGAGAGTATTGAGCACAGCACTGCCTGCACTCCCCATTCTATTACAAAAAACTAATCCCATCGCATGACCTGCAGCAATTCAGTTTAACAAATCCACAATTACAAATATTTTGGCAAAGTAAGCTTAGGTATTGTTTGCCTCTCGGCACAGCTCACAACCAGTTTGTGGCTTTATGATAAAAGTCATTAAATCCAATCTGAAAAGCAGAATTTACAGCTCACTTAGCAAGTCAGGCCCATAAATGGCTGCTTTCAATTACAGGGCATTTACATGCACAGTCATTAAGGCAGTGTTGAGTACATTTGAAAAAATCTAGAATACTTTTATAATAATTAAAACTCTGTGTGCTGCTCTTTATAGAAAGAAAACTTGGGAGTTTTCTTCAGTCTCAACCATAATTCATATTCTTTGTTAGCCAGAACGTACTACCAAGCCTGTTCTCCCAGTACGATTGTGGGAAGGAGATTAGACAGATGGAGACAAGTTTTGTTTTTAAATCTGCACTCAGCAGCAGAGATTTCTAAGCTCCAATACACTCAATTACATCAACCAGTGCTCAACACTTCTGAAAGATCAAGTGGAGCAGGAAGGTGAAGGAGCACCCAAGCAGGGCTTTGCATTTAGAGATACGCCGTGATCCAAACTCATCTGCTCTTGCTCGTGCCCCTGGTTTCTAGGAGGGGAAAAAAGATCAGTTAAGAGATCAATTTTTTTAAATTCACTTTTTTCCAGATGTGCTTTATTTTGGGGGGCAAAGGGAGGGAATTATTATTACTATGATCAAACAAACCTCGGGAACATTGACAACTTTTCTCCGAAACTGTATTACGCGTGGCCAGATTCTTCCATAAAGAAACCTGAACCTGCATTCCTGCTCATTTTGGTGACTGTCAGTGCAGTCCAATCCTGAACCACGCGATTACAGACCAATTCTCTCACAAGTCATTAAACACCCCAAACTACTGTTAAAGGTGATGGATGCTAAGAACACACTGAAGTTTGAGCCAGTCTTAGTGCAATCCTCCCCCACTCCTCTTTTAAAGGCACTGATAATCAGTGCTATCTTCCACCAAGATAGTGCTAAGCAAATGGAGCGAGGCAGGGAGAAGCAACTGCAAACTTCAAACCTTTCTTATTTATATTCTCATTCCCCCGTAATTCACTGGAGTTTGTGAACACTGATGTTTTAAAGCCATCAAACAATAAAGCCACTCATGTACCATGCAACCACGGCTCCAACACTGCGATAACGCTTCTTAAAGTCTAAACAGCAACTGCGTTCCGTTAGATAAGCCTTTCGACTTAACAACAGGAGGTTCTTCCAGTCTGGAGAACAGAGAAAAGACTCGTCAGCCTCACTGCACACTCCAACCCCACAAAAGTAACACTGTGAATCAGTCTAAAAGTGCAGCTCTCCAGGCTAAGCGTGGAACACTTACGGACAGACAAACCTGCTGTTAGGTGTGGGCTCCACGTAAGTTGTCATTACTAACTTCTCTGTGCAGATGGAAGTTACTCACCTGTGACCAGGCGCAGCACTTTCAGAAATTTTTCCTGCAGCGGATCCAGAAAACAGAACTTTTCCTTAAAACTACCTACTTAATGTAAAGGGATTTGAAAGGGAGCACAACATACATGGCTTCTTTAATCAAAGATCATGACACCCAACCAACACACAAAACCAAGCTGCAGCCCGTTGAACCCAACGGCTCTCCAGGGCTGTCGGGTGCCATAAGGGCTCTTTTATTTCCCCAATGCAAAGGCTGAAAGACCGCACCGAGGCACTCCCCTTCCCGTCCAAAACAACAAAAAGAAACAAAAGATAGCACAGACAGAGCT